ATATGTGTATATATATATATGTGTATATATATATGTATATGTATGTGTATATATATATATATGTGTATATATATATATATGTGTATATATATATATGTGTATATATATATATATATATGTATATATATGTATGTATATATGTATGTATATATGTATGTATATATGTATATATGTATGTATATATGTATGTATATATGTATATATATATATGTATATATGTATATATATGTATGTATATATATATGTATATATGTATATATGTATGTATATATATATGTATATATATTTATATGTATGTATATATGTATATATGTATGTATATATATGTATGTATATATATGTATATATGTATATATATATGTATATATGTATATGTACACTGAAGTCACATATACATGTATATACATATATATGTATATATGTATATATACATCCATATATATACATACGCATACATATATATATATGTATATATATATATATATATATATATATATATACATATGTATATATATATATATATAAAGAGAAAGAGATATACACAGACATGCATATATCTCTATACATATACATCTATATATATATATATATATATATAAAGAGAGAGATATGTATGTCTGTACATATATCTATTTATATGTATATATATATATATATATATATATATATATATATGTGACTGTATAAATATGTGACTGTATATATATAATGCACCTCCGTCCATTCTGTCACTCAATAATGTTCATTTTTCCCTCCCCCACATTTGCACATTTATGCACAAATAGATGTTTATTTAGTCACACAGTCAGACAGCAGTGAGACGCAGTGAAGCAGACGAGCTAAAGGTCCCAGATTGAACACACTCTCTGATATGACACAACACACACAAACATGAGGGCAGCCGTGATGACACACAGCAAGTCTTATCTAAACAAAAGAAATACAAGCTGAGAAACGACTGAGGCGTCCTGAGTGGGTGAAAGAGGAACAGGATGGCAGGAAAGACACTGAAAAGAACAAATGAGAGTAACGCTAACACGGATTAGAAAGCAAGAATCAAATGATGTGGAGGATTGATCATTTCTGCTGCTGAAACTGGTTTAAATAAAACAATAATATATTGATGGATGGATAATTCTCACATAAATCCCCAAAGACCAGCAGAACCAGTCTGCCAGGAGCTTTAAGCAGCATTATTTAGCTTAATTAGGGGTACGTTCAACGATTCTTCAGCACTAGGTGTGTTTTGATGATCCATGCAGGCCGCTCTTCTTAAAACCTCTTTGTTATGTAAATTATGGGGGTCTTCTCCGTTACTGAACGGGTCATGTGACCCAGAGCGCCGCTTTACGGCCCTCTGAGCTCCCCTTAAATACCAGAGCTATCTGAGCTAACAGTTTGTTAGTGCTGACTCCAACCTGATTAGACATAGTTCTGGTTCTCTGATTTAATCTAGAAGGTGAATGTAGCCTTGAATTTATTTATTTATTTATTCTTTTATTTTTTATAATTTTTTTTACAGTGTAATGTCTGTCAATGTGGCAATAAGAATAATTGTCTTGATGCCAAAAAGAGCCAAACAGATTTTACTTTCACAAGTGGAGCAGTATGGCTATCTCCATAGTGTTCCTCCTGATTTATGCATAAATTGCTTTATTATAATTCGTGCAGGGAGTTTTACAGATTATATGGAGGAGAAAAGATGAAAGAAATAGGAGATAAAAGGGAAATAAAGCTAAAACGTCTTCAGTCTGATTCATCACCTGCAAAGAGAGAAGATCTTAGCCTTCAATTTATAAGGAACTCAAAACGTCTGAATCTGCTGGTGCAAACTGGTCAGATATCAGGGTTTAAGAGGAAGTTATAGGTCTAGCGCCCCTAGTGGCTAAAAGTAACACATTTTAGCTATAAAGGAAAAGTTCGGTCAGCCAGAAATAATCAATGGATCATTATCTATACCTAAAACTAATACGTTTGTGGAGATGTAATGAATTTTCATCGTGATCACTGAGTCTGGGAGCGGCCATTTTTGCCCAAATATAGTAGCCCCTCCCTCCTGCCATCTTCCAGCAGTGACGTCACGGTGCGGTAAGCCTAGCGCCATTCTCCCCGCTTTCCAAGCTAAATCAATGGGAACTACTAGACACATCTGCAATCAACAACAATTATTGAAGATTTCCAGAGGACTTCACCATTGAAATTCACCAGAGCTATAGTGAAACTGACAATGCCCACGTGCATGGCAGCTGGATGCTGGAATACATCGGGTAAAAGTGAAAAAAAGAGTTATTCCACCTTTCTGATTCCTGATCCTCCACGGACGGGTTGGTCGTTGGATCGCCAACTTGAAGAGGGAGGATTTGCCATCGAACTTCTGGCCAGAGAAAAAACCCGTAATATGTAGCCAACATTTGGAAGAAGAATGTTTTCAAGATGACTTGGATAATAGCGCGTTGTGACAAACACCAGATACAGCACTGGGACTTGATCAACAGCCGATACCGCACCGTGACAATGTCACTAACCAGTAGGTGGCAGTAGTGTTCTTTGACAAACATGGATGCCTCCAGTAAAGCACATTCACATGAAAATTACTCTGAATTAAAAACACTGATCATTTATTGAACAGGATGGAATCATTTCAGATTTAAAGAACTTTCAGAAGTTTGAGTTCTGAATATGAGCGACTTTTCCTATAATGGCTTCCTGCTCTCAGCAGGGCCGGAGCCATGGGGTGCCTGTAGGGTGGCCCGTCTGAATTTGTCCACACCATACCGTCTATCCATGAATTCAATAAATATTTTTCTGGCACTTTCTATGCAGTGAAAGCACTGTAAAACATGTTCAACAACTTACTATCAGATTTCACAGTACATTAATGTTTAGGATAGTACCTATCTGCACATTAAACACAAACATTTTAAAGGTTATTTTGTATATTAATTAAATGTGGAGAATGAAGGTTCAAATAAAAATCATTCATCATTCATTTTGAGTGATGGCGCCTCTGTCCATGGCTCAGAAGGTCCAAGACCTGGAGTGAGAACCATGAAGCTGGAAGCTTAGCAGGAACTAATCCCACATCTTAGTGATCCCATTTACTCTGCTTTGACTTACAATCAGAGTTTTAGGAAAAATGTCCAAATCATCTGTTTGTCTTGATCTGATTTCCCCTGCAGGAGGATTGGACAAGAGGTTCAAACCCTGGAAGGATCATAGCAGGACAACTCAGAGACGCCATGCAGACTCACACTGGAAAAAACACATCTAGATAAGTCATTTTTTTCTTAAAATAAGTGCATTTATTCATGGATTGGATTAAGGAGGTAAAAGAGACATTTTGCCAATAAAATAAGACAATTTACATTTAAAATAAGAAAACACAATTGCATTGTCTTATTTCAAGTGCATATTATCTAATTATCTTATTTTAAGAGTAAAAATACTAATTCCATTGGCAAACTATCTCATTTAACTACTCAAATTAAGGGTAAATACACTTGATTTAAGACATTTTTACTTAATTCTAGATGGTTTTTGCAGTGCACAGTCCACACATACAAAGGAAGAGCAGATTTGGCTTATGCACTGGAAAAAAAATCTAGAAAAAAGTAAACATTTCTTAAATCAAGGGTTTTTACCCTTAATTTGAGCAGGTAAATTAGATAATTTGCCAATGGAATGAGTATTTATACTCTTAAAATAAGATAATTAGATAATATGCACTTGAAATAAGACAATGCAATTGTGTTTTCTTATTTCAAGTGTAAATTCTCTTGTTCCATTCGTAAAGTTTCTCTTTTTTGTCTTCAATGCAAGAACAAATGCAATTATTTCAAGAAAAATTTACTTACTTAGATTATATATATATATATATATATATATATATATATATATATATATATATATATACTGCAAAAAAATGGAAATCTAAATGAGTCATTTTTGCTTAGATTAAGTGCATTTTTTCTTGAATTGAGGAGGTAATTGAGATACTTTGCCAATGGAAAAAGACAATTTAAATTCAAAATAAGAAAAAAAAATGCTTTGTCTTATTTCAAGTACGTTTTATCTAATTAGTGTATAAATATATATATATCTTACAGAATTTAACTTTTTCCAGTCTGGGATTTGAACCGACACTGCAAAAAATAAGATTCTAAATAAGCTAAATTTTCTTTAAATAAGTCATTTGTTCTTGAATTGAGGAGATAAAAGAGACACTTTACATTTAAAATAAGACAAATCAATTGCACACTGGAAAAACGATCTAGGAATAAGTAAAAAATTCTTAAATTAAGTGTATTTACCCTTGATTTTAGTAGGTAAATGAGATAGTTTGCCAATAAAATGAGTATTTTTACTCTTAAAATAAGATAATTAGATAGTATTCACTTGAAATAAGAGAATGCAATTGTGTTTTCTTATTTTAAGTGTAAATTGTCTTGTTCCATTGGCAAGAAGTCTCTTTTATCTCCTCAATTCAAGAACAAATGCACTTATTTTAAGAAAAAATGACTTATCAAGATTTATATTTTTTTGCAGTGCATTGTCTTATTTGAAGTGCATATTATCGAATTATCTTATTTTAAGAGTAAAAATACTCATTCCATTCGCAGATCATCTCATTGACCTACTCAAAATAATAGTAAATACAGTAAATCCAAGATATGTTGACTTATTTTTAGATTGTTTTTAAGTGCAGGACCCTCCTGTACCAACTGTCCCATCGTCTGGCCATCTTCAAAGGATTTTTTCTATGGTAGATTTTTAATTCTGCTTTTTTTGCTCCTATTCTTTGTAAAATATCCCCAGTTTTCCAGACAAATCTCTGAATCGGGATTAAGTGTGTCCTGCTGCAAGTGCGCCCCCTGTTGACCGGTTGCTTTCTGAGGCAACTGCATGTTTTCAAAGATCCATGAAGGGTTAAACCATCTAGATTTTTATTTTATACAGTTTAAACAAAAACAAACTCCCTTTAGGATTAAAACATCAAGATATAAACGTCTGAAAGAACTAAAATGACAGGAATCAAACATTTTTCCACTAAATTTGGTATTTTCTGCAGATGAAGACGTTGATGTGGAGCCGGTGGCTCTCTGCCAGAGCCTCTGGCCCTAATGACCGGGAACCAGCTGACCATCAATGAACTAGACCCAAACAATAGCTCATGTTTCCACAGCGGCGTGCACGCGCTCTGAGCGCGTTTTCCCCCTCTGGTTTAATGAGACAAGATGGCCGCTGCTGTGGTATCAACAAAGAGGTGGGCGGCTGTGTGGAGGTGGAGGAGCAGACAAAGGCCGGGGTGGTGGAGGTGAAGTGGAGCTGTTTGGATCTCACACGCAAACCTCACAGCCTCCAGATGTGGGACCCCAGGGCCGCCGTGGAGCTCAGGTCCCAGAAACTTTTAATAATCATGGCGAGAAAAGAAAAAGGTTCAAAATGGCCGCTGTGTTTGTTCGGTTGTCATGGTGATCCGGCAGAAGGTAGGTTAAAGTTTGTCTATATTCGTTTACATAAACCTTTGATTTTCTGTGTGAAGTTTGGGTCAAATAGTTGAACTCTAGAGTTTCCTTCTGTCAGCGTTGGTCAGGTTCTGGTTGCGCCGCAAAAATGTTACGAAAATTAGTAAAAATAAGATGATTTCCCGATGGGATTAGCATTCTTATCCTTAAAATAAGATAAATACATAGATATTCACTTAAAATAAGACACTGCAGTTGTTTTTTTCTTATTTTAAATGTAAATGGTCTTAAAGAGTCTCACTTATCTCCTCAATTAAAGAGAAAATAAACTTATTTTCAGATAAAATAATTTATTGGATTAACATTTTTCGTTGTGTTTTGGTTCTGAAGTGAACCAACATTGAAATGTGTCCAATTTATTTCACATTTTCAAATATTTAAATAAAAATCCAGCATGGGAATATGGTTCAAGAACTGAATTTTCTGTTAAGGAGAAATATTTTATTTTTATTTTCTGTCTCAACAAAAACAAAAAAAGCTTAACAAAGATGTTCTGATAAACTGGGATTAAAATATATTATAATTCCAAAGACAAATACTAAAAATCTGAAATGCTTTAATGGTAAATTAGTCTAATTCTTTTAATATATGTCAGATTCATTAAGATATCAATGCTGCACATAACAGAGTAAAGAAATAAAATGCTTAATCTGAATTAAAACAAAAACATCTAAAAAAAATAGGAATGTTTACTAAATCAAATATAAAGAAATAGCTAAATTATTTTAAAAAGAAAACATAATACATTTTATACATTATTCTATAAAAGCAGGAACATGTTTTTCTGCTCATTGGTTACATTTCTAAATATAATTTTAAAATATTATATATCATAATATTTTAGCAAAATATTTTAATAAAAATTTTATTAATATATGTTTAAAAAAAATGTAAAAAAATAAAATTGAAACTTTAAATCCAATTAAAATCATAAAGTCTGGTCAATAAAACACAAAATACCCCCAATATGAAATAAATAAATAAATAGAAATAATTCCTTTATTTTATTTTCACAAAATATTAAATTACTTCACATCAACAGAACTTAACCATCAATTATAAAAATATATTTATTAAACTGAAAACCCAGTTTATCTCATATATAGTTTTATATATATATATATATATATATATATATATATGAAACTTTTGAAATATATTTATTAGTTCTTTTTACATATATACAGGTGCTGGTCATAAAATTAGAATATCATGAAAAAGTAGATTGATTTCAGTAATTCCATTTAAAAAGTGAAACTTGTATATTATATTCATACATTACATACAAACTCATATATTTCAGATGTTTATTTTGTTTAATTTTGATGATTACAAATGACAACAAATGAAAATCTCAAATTCATCATATCAGAAAATTAGAATATTGTGAAAAGGTTCAAAATGGATGGCCCCTGGTGCCACACTCTAATCAGCTAATTAACTCAAACCACCTGCAAAAGCCTTTAAATGGTCTTTCAGTCTAGTTCTATAGGCTACACAATCATGGGGAAGACTGCTGACTTGACAGTTGTCCAAAAGACGACCATCGACACCTTGCACAAGGAGGGCAAGACACAAAAGGTCATCGCTAAAGAGGCTGGCTGTTCACAGAGCTCAGTGTCCAAGCACATTAATAGAGAGGCGAAGGGAAGGAAAAGATGTGGTCGAAAAAAGTGTACAAGCAAGAGAGATAACCGCACCCTGGAGAGGATTGTGAAACAAAACCCCTTCAAAAATGTGGGGGAGATTCACAAAGAGTGGACTGCAGCTGGAGTGAGTGCTTCAAGAACCACCACACACAGACGTATGAAAGACATGGGTTTCTGCTGTCGCATTCCTTGTGTCAAGCCACTCTTGAACCACAGACAGCGTCAGAAGCGTCTTGCCTGGGCTAAAGAGAAACAGGACTGGACTGCTGGTGAGTGGTCCAAAGTCATGTTCTCTGATGAAAGTAAATTTTGCATTTCCTTTGGAAATCAAGGTCCCAGAGTCTGGAGGAAAAGAAGAGAGGCACTTCATCCACGTTGCTTGAAGTCCAGTGTAAAGTTTCCACAGTCAGTGATGGTTTGGGGTGCCATGTCATCTGCTGGTGTTGGTCCATTGTGTTTTCTGAGGTCCAGGGTCAACGCAGCCACATACCAGGAAGTTTTAGAGCACTTCATGCTTCCTGCAGCTGACCAACTTTTTGGAGATGCAGATTTCATTTTCCAACAGGACTTGGCACCTGCACACAGTGCCAAAGCTACCAGTACCTGGTTGAAGGACCATGGTATCCCTGTTCTTAATTGGCCAGCAAACTCTCCTGACCTTAACCCCATAGAAAATCTATGGGGTATTGTGAAGAAGAAGATGCAATACACCAGACCCAACAATTCAGAAGAGCTAAAAGCCACTATTAGAGCAACCTGGGCTATCATAACACCTGAGCAGTGCCACAGACTGATCGACTCCATGCCACGCCGCATTGCTGCAGTAATACAGGCCAAAGGAGGCCCAACTAAATACTGAGTGCTGTACATGCTCATACTTTTCATGTTCATACTTTTCAGTTGGCCAACATTTCTATAAATCCTTTGTTTTTATTGGTCTTCAGTAATATTCTAATTTTCTGATATGATGAATTTGAGATTTTCATTTGTTGTCATTTGTAATCATCAAAATTAAACAAAATAAACACCTGAAATATATGAGTTTGTATGTAATGTATGAATATAATATACAAGTTTCACTTTTTAAATGGAATTACTGAAATCAATCTACTTTTTCATGATATTCTAATTTTATGACCAGCACCTGTATATATATTAGTGCTGTCAAAATTATCGCGTCATTATCGCGTTAACGCGAGGCCATTTTAACGGCTATAATTTTTTTAACGTGAGATTAACGCTATGTGGTTTTATGGTACAATTTTCCAAGTACATCCCGCTGCAGCCTGTGGAAAGGCGGGGCTATTTTCCCCCAGTCTATGCATTTCCCATAGGCTTCTAGAGCGGAGCTCCTCAAGGGAACAAGACGCTCATACACTGGGTGACGCTAGTGCCTTTTCTTTAAGCCCCACCACCAACAAACAAGTTGAGTGTCTGGTGTCTAGTAGCAACCTGAAATACGCTGAGAAAACAGATTACTGAGGTGAAATGGAATCTGCTACGGCACTCTTGCTGTCACAGGTCGGTATCGTGTGTGTGTGTGGGTGGGTGTGTGTGTGTGTGGGTGGGTGTGTCTGTGTGTGGGTGGGTGGGTGTGTGTGTGTGTGGGTGGGTGTGTGTGTGTGTGGGTGGGTGTGTGTGTGTGGGTGGGTGTGTGTGTGTGTGTTCTCATTTTTGTTAAGAGTCTGAAAAGTAACTTTCATAGACTACCTCCATCTAGTGATGTCGGTCTATTGATTTTGATGTATTGATTGAAAATTGTTCATTATTATCTTGGTTAATTAACATCTAATGTTAACTCTACTACGTTTTATAGCAGTAGGGTAAAATGCTTGTCTTTGTTCAAAAGACTGTATTGACTGTAAAGACTGTCTTTTACATCAGCCTGTTTTCAGGGCCTTTTTTTTGGCTACATATTTGTTATTTTTTGCTACATGCCTCCCCATCTTCCTGCCATATGTTCTATGGCATAAATCAGTGTCTGTGACCTGTTCTCATTTAAAAAAAAGAACATTGGCACAAACCTAGCCTGTATGTATTTTTTGTATGTCATCGAGAGTATTTAAATGATTTTCAATCAGAAAAAAATTTGCGATTAAAATGCGATCAATCGCGAGTTAACTCAGGCATTGATGCGATTAATCGCGATTAAAAAAATTTAATCGATTGACAGCACTAATATATATATATATATATATATATATATATATATATATATATATATATATAAATAAATTTCATATATATATTAGTTTCTTTAACGTATTTATATGAAAATGTTTTTTATAATATTTACTAATATATACATTAGTATAATATATAATATACAAATGAAAACGATTTTTTATTATATATATATATATATATATATATATATATATATATATAGTGATTAATTCTACCGCATATGTGAAATATAAATCTAAAAATTATGAATCCAAATGATGCAGCAACAAATGAGCAGAACTATAATTACTTTACCAAGAAAAAATATTTCTATAACTTTATTGTTAAAGCAAAGTTTGGGTGGAAAGAGGCTCTAAACCGTCGTTAGTAAACCAACAAATGTTTGCTCAGTTTTGTCTTTTTTTTAAATAAAATTTAGATAAATAAATCACAGTTAAGACAGTCAGACATCATTATTAATTGAATTATATATTTTTAAAAACACTAGTGATAAAGAACCATCATTTAGGTGGTTGATCACATAAAGGAAGGTCGGGATGTTAAGCATTATCAAAATATTACTTTTAATTTAAAAATACAGCTAGTATCTAAAGCTGAGAGAAAACCTTGAATATTAGTTTATTTTAAAGGATATTTGTCAGGCTGAAGGAAAAAAAATCAGCTGCAAGTTAAGTCAGGTTTATTAACCGAGTCCATTTAATAATAAAATAAATGAAAAAAAACGCCGTAAGGAAAAAGCAGGTGAAGCAGAATAAAGGTTTCAGACGGTGTCCATCAGCTCTGCAGCAGGTGTGAAGAGTTTCAGTCAAACCGAAAAGTTTCAGCAGATTAAATTACTCGGAACAGTTTTTTTTGTTTTTTTCCAGCACATTTTCCTCCAAACTGAGCAGAAAAAACCTGCGACTGGCTGCTGCCAACCAGAAGAAGAACAAGCTGCTGCTCTGTCTGCACTCTGCATGAATCTGGCATGAGGTCAGAGTGAAGCAACCCTCCTCCTCCAGCCCCAGGGCGCCCCCTGGGTGAACCCAGGTGAACAGCTGATCAGGGCCCCAACTGGAACCAGGGGGGGGGGGGGTTTACCATTAGGAAATACTACACAGGAGCCTAGGGCCCCAAGTTCCTGGGGGCACCATAAAACTCTGTTTCCATGTATGTTAATACAACTATTCCTTATTTCTGCACATTAATTATGTTTTTGATAAAAATCCTTTGGCTAAAATGCCATCAGAACGCTGATAATATTAAGTGTGTCTCAGCCCCCCCCTTCAGTGTCCACCATATTGGATCAGTCCATTTGCTGCACATGTTCAGAAAGGTCCAAACAGACAGCAGCAAACCATTTGAAAACAAACCATGCAAAGAGCAGTGTTGCCAACTTAGCGCTTTAGTCGCTATATTTAGCCACTTTTCAGACCCCTCTAGCACTTTGATTTCTAAAAAGCTCCTAGCGCCAAATCTAGAGACTTTTTTCTGCTACTGGAGACTTTAGAGACAACATCTAAAAGCAGCGAACTCTGCTCTCCAGAGCGAGTAGATTGGTAACCCCGCCTCCTGCTCTCCTCTATCTTGTCTGCTGTCATGATTCATGCAGCTATTATTTCATCCAAATGAAAAATGGAGAACAGATAAGCAGATCATGGCTTGTCTACAGTGAAAAGAAGGACTGGGTTATTTACTTTGGCCTTTTTGGAAACACAGGAAGGAGCAATCAGCTAAGTGAGCTTAGTGCTTGGAAAAAATCTTTCATTCCTTTAGAGACAGCATGAAAAGTCAGCTGAGTACAAAACATAGAGAGGAAAACAAGAAGAAAAGGGACAAGAAGAGAGGGACACAACCTAGAACAGATAATGGATGTCTATTCTATTAACATCTCTCTATCTGGAGAATGGGGCTGTTTTATGTGTTCTAGAATCAGAGGGCCCCCTGCCTGCCTTTGCCCAGGGCTCCAGATTTCCTAAATCCGCTCCTGACTGTAACCGACCCGGTAAGAACTCAGCAGAGCTTCAGTTTTCGCTTCATTTGCTCCTAAAGTCTGTTTTCCTTCCTGCAGGAATTCCTCAGACGTCGGAGGTTTCATCCGTTGTTTTAGAGCCATGAACAGAGAAACGTCTGTTATCCTGCAGCCGAGGAATAATGGAGGATATCGGTGCATCATTCATCAGTTTAAACCTGAGCTGCAAATTATTAACATTACAGATACTTAACTGCTTATAAATGATGCAGTTCTGCATCTGCTAACGGAGAACAAAGGTTTTCCATTTGGTCGCATTAAAGTCAAATAGTTTTGTCTAATTAAACCATGGCAGTAACAGGTTATAAAATGAAACATATTCCACTGCTTAATGCGCTTTTATAGTTACTTCTGCTGCTTTTATGATTAAATCTTACGGAGAATCTCTGAGCTACTAAACATTAAGACTGAGGGTTAGGGTTAGGAACATAAGGAACTGATTCATAACTCCACATAAAAATTAACCCTAAACGGAAAATCTGACACAATATAAACGTTTCTTTCTGTTACCTATCAGCAGAGGTGGGAAGTAACTAGTTACATTTACTCTGTTACACTTACTTTTTTAATAAAAGCTACTTTTCTATTCAAACTTTGGATGTTTCTGTTTTTAATAAAGTTTTAATTTTTTTGTTTATGTCTTGCGTCCATCAAATTTGTCCCATTCATGTCCTTCTTAATGCAGGGGTGTCCAAAATGTGGTTCAGGGGCCGTTAGTGGGCCAACTAAGCGAAGTGGAATTAATCGTTGTCCTGGGATTTTTCAATATTCGGGTTTTTAAAAGAGAAAATGTTAAATAAAAATAAAAGTATTTAGCTTTAATTATTCGTTATTTTGGATAAGACAAAAAAAATAAATACTCTCTTTTTATTATTGAGAATCAGTAAATTATTTACTAGAATTAAATACAGAAAGGTCTTATTATTATTGTTATTTTTTTTTACTGTTGCAGAGAATTTAGAAAGATTTTAAAATATCCCATCCCATCCATCCATTTTCTTACACGCTTGTCCCAAGTGGGGTCGCGAGGGGTGCTGGTGCCTATCTCCAGCAGTCAATGGGCGAGAGGCAGGATACACCCTGGACAGGTCGCCAGTCCATCGCAGGGCAACACAGAGACACACAGGACAAACAACCATTCATGCACACACTCACACCTAAGGACAATTTAGAGAAGCCAATTAACCTAACAGTCATGTTTTTGGACTGTGGGAGGAAGCCAGAGTACCCGGAGAGAACCCACGCATGCTCAGGGAGAACATGCAAACTCCATGCAGAAAGACCCCAGGCCAGGAATCGAACCCAGAACCTTCTTGCTGCAAGGCAAGATTTTAAAATAAAAAAAGATTTTTTTTGGCACACAGTTTGAAAACTGAACACTTTTCCTTTACTAAGACATTTATTTCCCTCTTTGTTTCATTATTGATGTTTAACCCAATAATGCCAAATGTATCGTATTTGATACATACGGTTTCTGAAATGTTTTGCGTCTGACACCTTTTGCATAATTTTATGGTAAAAACTTTGCTCAAAATGCTATTGTGCACAATCAGATATACCTAATAACAGAGGGCAGAAGACTACACAAAAAATAATCTTGACTTATCGCATAGTAATAAATTATTATCAAAAATGTATTTCTGTTTTTTCTTTTTACATATTTTGTTAAACCAAAAAAAAGTAATTTTCTGTTTTGTTTTATTCTTGGATCGGGCTTTAAAGGGTTAATATGTTTCTGATCAGACAGAATAAGAATGTTAGGATACGATATTTTTTGATTGGAAAAATTATTTTAAGAAAAATGTGTCCCCTGATTATGATAATAACAATAATAAATGAATTCCCTGTTATCTTCACCTGCACAATCAAATCCCACTGAATGAGTGAATTAAAACCCCCTCAGTGATCAGAGCAGCGTAGATCCAATCATCTCAGACTGAATCTAACGCCCTTCCTGCTCATCATCACCATCAATGATTCCGTCACTGTTTAATGCTGCGTTTGAAATAAATAAAACCATCAAAACGATTAGTTTCATCCAGACAGCTATTTCTTTGTGGTTGGACTCGGTGCTGCCCCAACCTGTTGTTCACCACAAACTAAAGTTTTTCAACATGATGCAAAGTTAAATTTGACATTGATGCCATGAGTTATAAAACTAAGAAAATGAAGTCTAAGAAAGTTATCAGAATTAAAAGTCCGGTCATATTTAGAACACAAACTTCTGAAAGTATTTTAAATATGAAATTCATTCTATTCAGTTTATTTCTATAGCTCCAATTCACATCATGTCATCTCAGGTCACTTTCCAGTTCACCAGATCATCCAGTCAGATTGATTCAAAGTTTTCTATCTAAGGAAAACCAGCTGATTGCATCGACTCATTGACTCTTCAGCAATCCCTCACACTAAGCATGCTTGTAGCGACAGTGGAGAGGAAAAACTCCCTTTGAACAGGAAGAAACCTCCAGCAGAACCAGGCTCAGTGTGAGCGGCCATCTGCTGAGGCCCACTGGGGTTCAAGGAGACAGAAGCAGACATAGAAAAAGAAGCATAGATACAAAAAGCAACTGTAAAAGGCGGCCCCATCCAGGAAACACACAGCCATCCTGTTCAATAAACGATAAGTTTATTGAACAGGATGTTCAATAAACTTCATTTATTGAACAGGAGTCATTTTTAATTGGATGTGCTTTACTGGAGGCATCCATGGTTTGTCAGAGAACACTACTGCTACTGTGGTCGAGAAATTTAGTTTCTCTTATTTCATTTATTAATTTATCTTATTTCCTCACTATAAAACTTTTCACTCAGCCTGTTTCATCTGCAAGGCAACAGAATTCCCAGCGAGGGTGTTTGTAGACCAGATAAAGCTCCTTCCCAAACCAAACCAGATTCTTTCTCAGGTTTATTCATAACATGTTACTGTTTAATCAAAGGATTTTTAATTAGTTTTTACTCTGACAACTTTCCATGATTGTAAGTAAAGGGAAAACACTCTGCTCAGGCTGAACGGGGCTGATTACAGAGCAGTGAGGGCCGTATGAGGAACTGTTCTCTTTTTGCAAAGATATGAAACTAAGGGCCGGATCTATCAAAGGTTTGCGTGTATTAAAACGTGAGCTATTTCACTGCGCACGCTAAAAAATGTACAAACTGATCTATCAACAGCGTGCTAAAAGGATTTGGTCTTTAAAACGTGCTAAATAGCGCCTCTTATCCATTTAGTACTTTTTCTGCAATGAATATGCAATATGGGGCGTTTACACGCAAAAGTGCGTCATGTGGGAGGAGAACATGTAAATATATTAATTTAGCACTCGCAAAGTGATTTATTAAACCTGAAAGCAATTTTGCTAACGGTATCTGACTCTATATTTAACACGTTTCAAAAGAAGGTGCAAATGGTCTGTATGCGTAATTGCGCACACATGGCAGCGGTTATTGTCGCAAGAAGGAGACATGGAAAAGAAGCAAGGAGACGCAGAGAACGCATTTTTTCACTCCGTGTGAATATTTTTGGAATGAAGGAGGAAACGATCATCAAACCATATCGTTTATCCAGCATTGCCATTTTGGAGCTGCTGGGGGAACTCCGAATGGATTTGGAGCCAGCCACAAGGAGGACCCACGCAATACCAGATATCACTAAACTCCTTGCAACGTTGCACTTTTTTGCATCTGGGTCATTCCAGCGTACGGTTGCAGCGAGAGCTGGGATCTCCCAATCTCGTTTTTTCCGAAGTGCTGTCCGACGAGGTCGGGGTTCTCCACCTGTGCCTGTGGAGCAACATGCCAATGCTGCGGGGATGCATACGCGTAATCTCATCCACAGTCACTTCTTGTGAGCCATTTGGTATGTGCATTTTTCTACAGGCCAATACAAAACACCTGTTTTTTCTTTTTTTCTTTTTTTTACTGCAGTGGAGTAGAAATTCAGCCACATACCACCTTAGGGAATAAAGGTTGCCAAAGTTTTTTCTTTATATATATATATCTATATCTATATATATATATATATATATATATATATATATATATATATATATATATATATATATATATATATATATATATATATATATAATTTGTTTCTTGTTGTTGTTGGGGTCACTGTAAGATTTAAATTTCTTAATGCACTAGTTTGTAGAAACTACAAACTACTTTGCCGCAAACCACAAAACGCGCAAAACCATAATTTAAATAGGGCGTCTCCAACAGTTTTGCACCTGCCACCAGTTACGCAATCACTCTTGTTAAATCACCCGCAAACCATGGTTCAGCCCCTCACGCAAAATTCCAGTTTGCGAGCGCAAATTACTGCACGCAAAATTGGATCTTGATAAATCCGGCCCTAAGTCCAGTGGAGAGTTTTTAACTTTTTGGAAATGCGCTCTCCAAGGTTCTGACCAGTGGACATTTCTGATGGAGGCGACATGCAGACTTCATGACCCCGTCCCCCCCTCCGTATACTGCCTAATATTCTGCTCCTCTGGGGGCTGTTGACTATAAAGACCAAGTTTTCACTGAACCACGACACAAAGAGGATGAATGAGGCTCAGTTCCTGAAGCCAAAATCATCGATTCAGTCAAACTTTCCTATTGAATCCTATTGGCTCTAATAGTTCGATGGATTCTTTAAAAAATAATCCACCTCTTTCGATCCGATTTACAAATCCCCCTAATTGATAGGATATGTAGTTTTGTAGTTTAAAGGTTATGAGGACAAAGAAAAACATATCAGATGTATTTTGTTGTATTTTTTATATTAAGCGTAATAAAATCACTCTGTGGGGCGGAAATAATGGAATAAAGTCAGATATTATTTATCAGTAATATTGGCAATAACTGGTTATTTTAGGGTTTTAATCATATGCTAATATCATCATACTATGAATAACAAGAACCATGTTATTAATTTCCTGGATTCAGTCAAGCTATTTGGATCATATTGGTTACCCTGACAACCAGTCATGTTTTTCTGTCAAATTATCAAACTGTGTCGCAAAAACAGTTTTTCCTAATTCAGCTGTTTGTTAAATGATGATCTTATTTTTATCTCTCATCTGTGTTTTACCAGCTGCTTTCATGAGTCGGTGAAGATAAAGAATGTTGAGTTTTGCAGCATCCTGACCTGCCAATCAGCGGCTACAGAGTCTGAGACGGTGATAAATGAACCAAAGTACTGATTACTGTGACAGAGAAGGTTACTCCCAGAGCTGGAAAAACTACTAAAATATCATACTCAAGTAAAAGTATTAAGTAGCTAATTAAAAATGTATTTTAAGTAAAAGTTACTTAGTTACATTAAAAAAATTACTCAAGTAAAAGTATTAAGTAGCTAATTAAAAATGTATTTTAAGTAAAAGTTACTTAGTTACATTTAAAAAAATTACTCAAGTAAAA